GTACTGCCTGGACTGTATTTTCCCTGCCTTCCCTGAACCTTTCTTGACCTAAGAAAAAAAGAAACAAAATATCCCCCCTCTAGTGGTCGAAGGCGGAATTGCAGCTTCCCATTAGTTTCTATGGGTGGAAAAGAGCAGATACGGATCAAATGGTTTTCAATGCATTCCTATGGGAAATGCAGATTTGACCTGAGAACTTTTTGACTTGAGAACCACCTTCCAATACGGATTAAGTTCTCAAGTCAAGACCCCACTGTAAATACAGTGTACTCATCCAGAACAGGCAGCCTCTCTGTTTTAAAAAAGAAAGTAAAAAAAATCAAAAAACAACCAAACCCCCGAAGACCCATCGGAAATGGGGGGGCAGAAACAAAAAACCCACAACCCCCCAAAACCACAGTGCAAAAACACCCAGAACAGTTTTTAAAAAGCAGAAAGTACCACTTTACCTCCCAGCAAACACACACATGCTCACTCCAGAGCAGAAGGAGGCAGTCCCAAGCCTCCGACAACAACGCATACTCTTTAACTGCTGGGGCGAAAGAGCTACAAAGAAGCAGCCTCATCGCCACCTATAGTTAGAAATTTGAATTTCCTGCCTTTTCCCCTGCCTTTTTCTTTTCGTAAGTGGAAGCTCCAGTTGCAAGTAGAAGCAAAATTTTGCGACCGGAGCTGGTCGTAACTCGAAATGGTTGTTAAGTAGGGACATTCGTAAGTCAAGGCATCACAGTACTGATAGTTGCATGTCACAACAGGATTCCAAAATCACAAAGATGGATCACACTGATACTCTGAATTTTACATATAGGCCTAAATTTATACAATCTCACACATTCAAGAGCATATATTACTTCAACCAAAGGTCCCAATCCCATACTGGCAAACTCTTTTGAAATGGGTAAGTTTCAGAAACAGCTTCTGTTATGAGGAACATTTTTAAAAAATTACACTGGGCAAAGTAAATTTTCAGATCCTGCTTACCTCTTTCAAATGTCCTTTTACCATAATGCCACAGAATGTACCATGCATCTTATATAGTATCAGCTGTCTGGATGAAAATTTGGTTGCAACAATTCATGAAGTAAAGCCAATTTAAAGTGAATACCTCACACAAGCAATTTGGAAAGAAACAGTTGAGTTTTCTGAACAAGTCTTTTAAATTAGTTTTCGTTTTTATAAATGCTGCATACTCCTATGTTCACTAACATGGCTCTGCAAAATGGCTTCCCTATGGGCAATTTTCGCAAAACGGGTGTTTTCGGGATCAATGCTTTGCAAGACAGCGATTTTTACAGATGATTGTGGCTTCGCAAAATGGCTTCCCTATGGGCGATTTTCGCAAAACGACGACTATTTTCCCCATTGGAACGCATTAAACGGATTTCAATGCATTCCAATGAGTAAACACTTTTTGCAAGACGATGTTTTCGCTAAACAGCGATTTCAATGGAATGGATTATCATTGTTTTGTGGGGCACCACTGTAGTTGGGTTTGCTTTTAAAATAAAAGCTCTGAACACAGAAAAGCTAAATCCAAGTAAGGGTGGGACCTCACAGTAAGAAAAATGTGAATTCAATCATTATGAAACTGCATTGGGAATTTGAGTTTCCTGGGTCTGTTTGTGTTAACTGGACACACAGGGAAGAGAAACTTGGTTAAACAGCTTAGTTTGCAGCTTGTTAATGTACCCCTGCAGGAGGTGTAGTTAAAGAAGAACTACCTTAATAAGATGTAAACAAGGACTGACTGGCAATTTCCTCCCCTTGTTTTCTATTTGATTTTTACTTTATGGTATCTAGGTACCCACAATCAGGGCACACTTCAAAGCATATGAATGATTTTCTCTTTCCATTCATATTTTAATAGTACTTCTAATTTAAATCTATAGATACTTGCATTCAGAATCTGGTATAACAAATTTTCTTTCCGTATGCAGTCGTTATACTAGCACAAAAATTCACACATAAAAACACTGAAAAATAAGGAGAGAATAATCTACACGTAGCTCTTCTTTAGGAACACATCAGACAACAGCACAAGATCTGTAGAATTAGCACTTACCCGCACTAGAAGCTGTACCTGAGCCAAACCCAGGCTGTTGGGTAGCTTGCTGTCCAAAGACTGGAGGCTGTGTACTACTTGATACAGACCCAAAGGCTGGTGGTGCCGGCTGGGAGCCAGCAGGAAATAATGAAGATGTTGAGAGTGACCCAAATGTTGGAGCAGGAGGCTGGCTGGAGCCTTGGTTTTGACCAAATGTTGGTGTCTGGCTGGCACCAAATGCTGGACCAGCTGCAGGAGCTGAAGACCCAGAGCCAAATACAAATGAAGAGGAGGAACCTAGGAAAGCAGGAACACAAGCTGAGTTTAGCAACTGTGCCTGTAGTTAAGAATCTAAGTGTTTTAAAAAGAACACAATGCAAAGAAGGTTTTTGCTTATAATTGCATCTTTCAGCTGAGGATCTGAATGTTCTGAAGATACTGTGGTCAAAATCATACCTGTTCTTTTTCCCCCCTATGTGGAATTCCATCTATACTTATTGCAAACACTTATTATAAAACATATGAATACTGTACATATATTTGAACCTCTCATAGTAAACATCTCCTTCACAGTTTAAAAAAAACACCCCAAAACAAATCTTGTGCATATATGAAGCTTAAGTACACCATACTCTTGGTAACAGATGGCAACCCTCAACTGTATTCTAAAGGGCTGGAGCAAATGCACACAAATATGTAGCTACTGTAACACTGGATTTCCTTTCTGTGACTAAAAGCAACAACTATGGAAACAGAGAAAGGTGAATAGACACATTAACAGAAGGCATATACAGTGGTGCCTCGCTTAGCGATGTTAATTCGTTCCAAAAAAATCGCTGCTAAGTGATTTCATCACTAAGCGAAATGCGGTTTCCCATTGAAATGCATTGAAAACCGAATAATCCGTTCCAATAGGAACAAATTGCCATCCTTAAGCGAAAATTGCCATAGGAAACATCGCTCAGCGAGGGCGGGGCTTTGTTGCGGTGCTGCCAGCAACTCCAGAGAAGAGCTCTCTGGAAAAAACTGGAACCCTCCGGTCCGGGATCCCCCTTTTGAAATGGGGATCAAAGGAGAGTCTAGAAGAAGTCTCTCTGAAGCAGATGGTGAGCAGCAGAAGGAGAAGAAAGGGAGGCAGACCCGGACTTTTTTCTTCTGAAGAAATCACCGTGCACGGACTGGAGCGGGCGCCATTTTTTGGCACTGAGCCGCGAGGAACCCTTTACCGGGGGAGAGGAGAGCAATCAATATAAACTAAAAATATATAACAAGTAAGTAAGCCGAAGCCTCTGATTTATGAAACAGCCTCATTAAGCTGAAATAAGAATGAAAATATTTGGCGGAAAGAATAAATGCAGCGGCGGGTTTATCTTATCAGTCTGACTCAAAAGCGAAACTAAGCTTCTCCAAGTGAACTCTTAAAACACCAGGCTGATTCTAAAGCCGAGAGTCTGAGATGGAAAAATAAATCTTATGTTTCTGGAAAAGAATCCCAGACAGCAACACCGTCTGACTGGATTTAAGAGACTTCGGTGGATGCAGTGTGTTATTCTCTGCCTTCTCTGGACTTTGTGAACTATAAATAATAGAATCTGGTGGTTTTCGGGAGAAGGAGCTGACGTGGCCGACTGGACTAAGGAGCATTAAGGGGTTAATGAAGATCACAAGACGAGCTCCAAGGACAATCTACTGGACAGTTTGAGACT